TCCCGCCTGATTAGCATCTCATCAGCATCTCATTAGGCAGCCCGCCTCATTAGGGAATCCTCGCTGGGAAATTGGGTTTTTTTGGAGGCGCTCAGTTACTGGGTCAGCGGGGAAAGGGGGCGCGGGGTCACCGCTGTCGCCACCGCCACCTCCTCTGTCGCCACCGCCACCTCCTCTGTCGCCACGGCCACCTCCTCTGTCGCCACGGCCACCGCCGGCCCCACCGCGGCCACTCGGCCCCCACAGATCCCCCCCCTCCCAAAAAAAAAACAAACCAGCGGCGGGGCCGGAGCAGCTCGAGGTGACCTTGGGCAAGGACAGAGGAAGGGCAGGGCCCCGCCGGTGTCCCCGTGTCGCTGTCCCCGTGTCGCTGTCCCCGTGTCGCTGTCCCCAAGCGTTTCCCGCCGCCGCCTATAACGGGAAAGCCACGCGCGTCCGGTCACCGCCACCCCGGGCACGGCGACACCGCGGGCTCGGTGCCAGGGGGGGGCCCGGGGGGGTCGGGGCACGGCCCGGGGGGGTCCCAAACCTCTGCCGTGTGTGTGTCCCCCCCCTCCCCACCCCAGATCCGGAGGCGTCGGCCGACCCCCGCCAACCTCGTCCTGAGCAGCGACCAATCGTCCCCAGGTGGGTCCGGGGGGGTCCCCGCGTCACCCCGGGGCAGCCGGGACCCCTCCCCAAAATGCCCAGGGACCCCACACTTGCTAAGGATACACCCCCCCCCCCAACAGGACCCCCCCTATTGTTCGGAGGGGTCTCTCCCCATGCTCGTGGACCCCTAAATGACACTCAGAGACCCCCTAAATGACACTCAGGGACCCCCACATGACACTCAGAGACCCCCTAAATGACACTCAGGGACCCCCCCGATGCTCAGGGACCCCCACATGACACTCAGAGACCCCCTAAATGACACTCAGGGACCCCCCCGATGCTCAGGGACCCCCACATGACACTCAGAGACCCCCTAAATGACACTCAGGGACCCCCGATGCTCAGGACCCCCACGCACGGGGGGGTGGGACCCCAATCCCCGTGACAATGGGGCGGGGGGTGGTGGTGGCACTGTCCCCATGACACCCCCAGGGGACAGAGACCCCCCCGGAGGGCCCGGATTGACCTCGGGGAGCACAGGACGAGCCCCCCACCCCACTCCCACCCTCCCGCTGACCTCCTGTCCCCTCTCTGCCCCCCCAGAGATCGACGAGGACCGGCTGCCCAACCCCCTGCTGAAGGTTTGTGCTCCGGGGGGGCTGCGGGGACCCCCGGGGGACATCGGGGATTCCCCCCCAGGCCGGGAGACCCCCCCCGCTCCGCCCTGACCCGCGCTGTCCCCGCAGTCCGGCCTGGCCATGTCCCCCCGGCAGAGAAAGAAGGTTCCCCGCAGCACCCCCACCATGAAAGGTACTTGGGGGGGGACACGGGGGGACACGGGGGGACATGAAGGGACACTGGGGGACACTGAGGGGACACGGGGGGGCATTGAGGGGACATTTGGGGGACACGGCGGGACACTGGGGGACACTGAGGGGACACGGGGAGGGGACACAAGGAGGGGACAGCCCCTCCCAGCACCGCGGTCCGGAGGCCACCACCCCCCCACCCCCCCCCCCTCTCCCCGGCCTGGCAAACGCCACCTCGGGGCCACCCGAGGCCGCGGTGTCGCCGGGAGCGTGGGGACGGTCCCCAGGGTCCCCAGGGTCGCCAGGGTCGCCAGCGGCGCTCGCTGCCCGGCAGAGCTGCAGATGATGGTGGAGCATCACCTGTGCAAGCAGGCGCAGGGGGGAGGCGACAACGACGACGAGGTGGTGGCGGCCACCGCCCGCTGCCACCGCGGTGACCCCGAGCACCGCCACAGCCCCGGCGGCTCCTGCCCGCTGGCCCAGGGCGGCCACCGTGAGTCCCGGGGGGGGCGACCGGGGTGGGGGGGGGGGACAGGGGGTGACAGAGACCTGAGGTCACCCCCCTCCCCCGTGCTGTGACACCCGCAGGGACCCCCGGGGATGGGACCCCTCAGGCCGGGACCCCCCGAGCCGGGACCCCCGGGGCCGGGACCCCCCGAGCCGGGACCCCCGGGGCCGCGCGGCGCAGCCGGGACGAGGACGGGACCCATATAGAGCCTGGGGACAGCGAGGGCCAGTAGGTACGGCCTGGGGACACTGGGGACACTGGGGGGACATTGGGGACTCTGGGGGGACACTGGGGACACTGTGGTGACACTGGAGACACTGGGGACACTGGGGGGACACTGGGCGAACTGGGGGGACACTGGGGACACTGGGGGCACTGGGGGGACACTGGGGACACTGGGGGGACACTATGGGGACATTGGGGACAGCAGGCTGGGACACCCGGGTGGCACTGGGACACTGGACTGGGACATGAGATGTCCCCGGGATGTCCCCGGGGTGTCCCAGGGATGTCCCAGGGATATCCCAGGGATGTCCCAGAGATGTCCCAAGGATGTCCCCGGGATGTCCCCGGGATGTCCCCGGGATGTCCCCGGGATGTCCCTGGGATGTCCCCGGGCCACTGGACAATGCCAGGGGCAGGGTGGCCTCGCTGGGCAGGGGGCTGTCCCCTCCCCGCTGTCCCCAGCGCTGTCCCTTGTCCCCAGGTGTGGCCGCGGGACCCGGACGCCAGCGGAGATTTTTTTATTCCATTTTCTAAGATTTTGGGGCTGCCCAGAATTATTTTGGGTTTTGTTTTTTTTTTTTTTTGTTTGGTTTTTTTTCGTTTTTTTACTGCCACGGGCAGGTCCCCACCCGGGGGGGGGAGGGCTGGGGACAACGCCAGGGCTGTCCCCTCCCCCTGGGGACCTCAGGGCAGGTGACACTGGGGACACGGAGCAGACCCCCCCCCCCCCAAAATT